AGGGCCATGGGGTGGCCACAGGGCTGTAGGGTGTCCATGGCACGGCCTTGGTGCCATGGGGTGTCCACAGGGTGGCCTTGGGGTGGCCTTGGGGTGTCCATGGGGCCATGGGGTGGCCTTGGGGAGTCCACAGGGTGTCCATGGGGTGTCCACGGGGCCGTGAAGTGTCCATGGGGTGGCCTTGGAGTGTCCATGGGGCCATGGGGTGGCCTTGGGGTATCCACAGGGAGTCCACGAGCCGTGGGGTGTCCATGGGGTGGCCTTGGGGTGTCCATGGGGTGTCCACAGGGCTGTGAAGTGTCCATGGGGTAGCTTTGGAGTGGCCTTGGGGTATCCATGGGGTGACCATGGGGTCATGGGGTGTCCATGGGGTGTCCATGGGGTGTCCATGGGGTATCCATGAGGCATCCATGGGGCTGTGAAATGTCCATAGGGCCACAGAGTGTCTCATGGGGTGTCTATAGGGTGTCCATAGACGATCCTGTGGTCAATTCTACCCCACCCCCAGACCCTCCAGCACCCAAGCAGCACCCCCACACTGACCACAGCTCCAAACTGCCCACCCCCCACACCACCCACCCCTCACCCCACATCAGACGGACGTGGTGCACTCTCGGCTCAGCGGCGCCATGCCCAGCTCCCCTTTGGGGCAGGGGGCTCCCCTCTCCAACGAGCTGGACGTTCGCAGTGGGACCCCCGCCCGACCCGGGGGCTTCGGCCTCCGGCCCCGGCCGCAGCAGCAGAGCAGGCGCAGGAACTCGCCGCGCATGTCCTTGCTGCGCAGCGTGTAGATCACCGGGTTGGCGGCCGAGTTGAGCGTGGCGAAAGCGAAAAAATAATTGGCTTTGTAGAGCACGCGGCARGCGCGCACCGGGCACGAGGCGTCCAGCAGGAGGATGATGAAGGCGGGCAGCCAGCAGACGATGAAGGCTCCCAGCACGATGGTGACCGTCTTGAGCAGCGCCAGCGTCTGCGCCGAGGCGATCTCGGCGTGGCTGGAGCGCACGATGCAGTAGATGCGCGTGTAGAGCCCCACGATGGCCAGCAGGATGAGGGTGAAGATGGTGGTGACGAAGAGCACGTAGCGCTTGGAGTAGAGCGGCAGCACGGTGGAGCAGTCGCCCAGGTCGCTGATGCAGTTCCAGCCCATGATGGGCAAGCTGCCGATGGCGGCGGCGATCACCCAGCACGCCCCGATCAGCAGCACCATGCGGCAGCTCTTGTCGCTGCTGTACACCTTCACCTTGGTGATGGCCACGTGCCGCTCGATGGCGATGGCCAGCAGGCTGAACACCGAGGCGGCCAGCGTGGCGAACGCCGTGCCCTCGCGCACGAACCACTGCACCGGCGTCAGGCTGAAGGTGGTGGCTCCCGACAGCAGGATGTTGACCATGAAGGCCACTCCGGCCAGCAGGTCCGAGGCGGCCAAATTGCCGATGAAGATGTACATGGCCAAGTGCAGGCGTTTGTTGCGGCAGATGGACACGAGCACCAGSAGGTTTTCCAGCACGATGACGCAGCAGAGCAGCACGATCAGCGCCGAGCCCACCCAGCGCGAGGGCGCCGCGCTCTCCGTGTCGCCCTTGGTGTAGTTGTAGTGCTCGCGGATTTTGTCGCGGTTGAAATATTCCTTGTAGATGCTGCCCATGGTGCCGGGCCGC